GCTAATTATTTGATGACTACGACTTATTTTAAAAGTGTATTGATGATATGCCAATAGTTTTTACTTTAGTCTAGAAAATTCTAAAAGATTGCCTGCCTTAATCAAATCAATTAGGTAATTTCCAAAACATAGATTTACTTTTGAAACATATATATATATCCCTGAAATTATCAAAGTTGTTTTGTTTTTGCATTTCAATTCATCATTGGCAAATTATTGTCAACAGCAGAAACCTTCTTTGGGGGGAAAAATGGAAACTTTATATAAAACCCAAATGTCAAACATTGTATATACATTTTTTTGTAATCAGAGCCATTTTATGTGAATAAGAGAGATATCTTGAATTCAGATATGTAAAAACAATTGAAATTCCACTTCGTGTCACTCTGAGTAAAGAATCCTAACTTAGAAATTCTACAAAGATGTACTGCAATAGAGCAAATTTAGAATGTTTGGACTTCTAGTCTAATGCTCTTTCTGAATATGTTCAAAGGGAAGTCCCTAGATAGAATGCATCAGGCTCACCTTGTGCACATGTCAAACATAAGCTAATGTTTCCTGAACCCCATCTTAGGTTCACTGAATCAAAATCATCTACGGCCAGTATTTTATTAGCTCCCCATATTATTCTTAGTGTACTTTGAAAATTAGGAAACATCCTTCTTTTTTACTCCAACAGAGTCTCCTTTAATCCTTTGTTTTGTAGGCATTGCCTTAAACTTGCTTTCTTTCATCTATTCATTTATTTCACTATTTTTTAATACTTATTATGTGTTGGTATTGATTGTACTGCATGCTGGTCATACAATATTAAGTGAAACATTCAAGGCCTCTTCCTTCATGAGGAATTAAGTAGACCAAACATTAATAAAGCTACTCAAACAGTTTGACACGTAACCAGTGAAGCTGTTTACAATTTTTTTCCCTGATAAAGGAACAATTAGAAGCAGTATGTTAAACTGAAGCACTTACCTACTGGCGTCTCCCTTGTCTAGAATTTCCTGAGATAATTTGCTGTAGTTTACATGGCGGTATGTTAATATGGCTTTTATTTCTAGTAATTCCCCATTGATATTTTTTTCTTTGTTTCTTTCTTTCTTTCTTTTTTTTTTTTTTTTCATAGCCACCAAGAACTTCTGTTTCTTGGTCTCAGTGGCACTACATGAGTTACCATGGTAACAATGCATTTGGAGGATAACAAAAGTAAATATGCATGTACTATGTCAGCACATCAGTTGCTAATTCCTGGAGGAGGGCTGAAATTGTGTTTAGCAGGCTTTTGCTTTGAATATGGTCCAAGTTTTGTTTTTAAATATATTTTGTTAATTGAATAGTTGTAGTTTATTAATTACAGTCAAGAAAGATGCTTTTTCACAGCCATGCAGGAAGGGTCAGAGAGAATAAAAATGTATCCTTTAAAGACTGACATAATTTAATGAATTTAGTAGAAGAGACTAAATTCATCATGGTAAAAAGATCAAAATGGCATACAATTTTGTGTACTCCAAAGAGGCTTTTTCATTGATTTCTTAAATTCAAGAAACAGAAGCATAAATACAGTCAATATTTATTTAGCATAACATTCTACATCGGAAAAATAGAGTAAGATAATATGAAAGCCCAAAGGATCCTGGGAAGCCATCCAAGTCCAAGATAACACAGTGAGTGAGTGGTAAAGCTTGACCTTGAACCGACTCCTTCTCACTCAAAGTTCATTATTTCCCTCCATGAAACTTGGAGTGCTGCCTTTTAGCAAATAGGGTGTAACAACCAATAGTCCCATTTCCTGTTGATTCCTTAGTCTGCTGCCATGGCCACCAGCTCATCATCACCTGTTACCTGTAATATTCCGACATGCTCCAAATTCTTTCCCCAGCCTTCTTTCTTGACCTCCCCAATCTATTGCCACAATTCTAGGGTAAAATGTCAAGTTCTCAAAGCACATAGCATAGTGCAAACTGTTTGGTTTTGTTTTTCAAGGCACTGCCTCTAGGCACCCAGCCTTGCATTGTAGAATAATGTACCACTATTTCTCCAGTTAGCCTCTTGACTCCACAGCTATCAAACTACTTGCTGCCCTGTGAACACTCCAGTTTTCTTTCATGTTTCTATACTGTTGCTCAGTCAGTCCACTTTGCATAAGATGAATTAGCATGCCATGCTGTCACATCACCCTTGGTATGCTGGAAACACTATATATCATTTAGGACACTGTGTACAAAGAACACCTTCTCTTTGGTATTTCTCTTGAATTAATCCACAGACCTAGCATAGAACTACTTCCTGTACTTATACTTTGGCTGAGAAATTATTATTATTATTTTTTTACCTCCTGTCTCTTCCCTTCTTTTCCTCCTCACACCATAGGCCCTAAAGATGCAGAACTACTCTTCCCTCATTTGGCCCTATTCAGTCATGAGCATTCCCCATTGGTCACACACATTGCTAATGCAGTCAATGAACTGTTTTTGCTTTTCAGATTATATGTCGCTTTTTACACCTCTCTCTATACATTTTACTCTGTGGTAATTACGGATTTACAGCTCCATCGTTTCCTCCTGACTGCTCAGGAGCAACTACCACGTCTGACTCATCTCTGTGTGTCCAGGGACAAACAAGGGATCGACAACAAATGATGGTGAAGGATGGAGTGAATGGCCAATGCTTCTGAGAGGCAGCCACATTGTTCTTGACACCTACCAAGCAGGAAATGGTACAGAAAAACAAACAAAAATTCTTTTATTCTGTCTCTTGCTGCAGACCCCAAGAGGGCACGCTGATAGGAAAAAAACTGAAATATTGCTTCACCTCCCACCTCATCATCTAGTTATTTGTAATGGATCTACTCTCCCAAGGTAGAAGTTACTGCAGACCTGCATGAAATACACAAAGAAATGATTGGCTTTACTCTTTGTATAATTTGCATTACTACACAAGTCCATTTGGTAAAGCCCTTCTCATTCAAAAAAACCATTTACTCACTATTATTGTAGGTCCAAATGATGTCATTTGGAATCCCGCACTTTAAATTTTCGCCTTCTCCCACATAAAGACATTTTGATCTTCGTTCATCTTAATCTTATCTCTTGTCCAGCCTATACTCTTAGCCCCAGCAACGCTTTATCATTGGGCACGGTATCTAACTCCTTCACCACTCTGATTGCACCATCTGTAATCAATGCATTTGGCATTGTTTCTAGTGATTAATTACAGCTGCCACTGTATGTCCTGAAAATTTTTCTTATTTGGTTTAAGAAAGAGAAATATGGCAGGGTGCATTGACTCACGCCTATAATCCCAGCACTTTGGGAGCCTGAGGCAGGTGGATCACGAGGTCAGTAGTTCGTGACCACCCTGACCAACATGGTGAAACCCCGTCTCTACTAAAAATACAAAAATTAACTGGCATGGTGACAGGAGCATGTAATCCCAGCTACTCAGGAGGCTGAGGCAGGACAATCGCCTGAACCTGGGAGATAGAGGTTACAGTGAACCAAGATCACCCCATTGTACTCCAGCCCGGGGAACAGCAGGACTTCGTCTCAAAAAAAAAATAAATAAAAATAAAGATAAATAGAAATTGTATTATCATTTTGATGACAGCATTATTAAATAATAATAAAAGCCAGGTTTTAATTATTTTCTATCAGGGCCTATGCTAATTGTGTTACATATATTGTGTTATTCAAACCTCCAAAACACAATCTGAAGAAGACGTACTGACCTAAGTTAACAGATGAGAAAACTGAGCCTCCTATACAAGTATCTTGCCCAAGGCCATAACATCCCAAGGTTTCTAACTACCTGTTGTTTAAACTATATGTTTAACATATAGTTAAAACTATAAACTGTATGTTGTTTTCACAGAATATTGAAAGCAACTCCTAGACGTTCTTTGTTCTATTTACTGTATATTTTTAAAAAATTTATCAAAAGAAAGTCAAATATTGTGTTAAAATCATTAAATTACTATGCTACAGTTCCATTTCAGAGATTCAGATGTCTCACTGAAATCCAACAAGGATGTGGATATATAGGATTACATGGAAAAGAAATGTTATAAATTCCCAGAATAATGACTTCTTTTTCCTGATACATTCTTGGCTAGTATAGGTTTGGCACAATACACTTTGTATATGCTTTGTCTTCTGTGGCAAAAACAGCTTCAAGAAGCATATTGAAAAAATTATCATTTTGATTGTGCTGCAAAATACATTTTTCATCTACAATACACTATGTTGCAATGAAGACTAACCTATGAAACCTATTCCTGGAAGTCTGATGATTGTTTCAGATGGAAGAGTTGAAAGATAAATTTGCAAACTGTAACTGCCCTGGAATTTTAAAAGTTTTGAGTCAACTTTGCCTTTCTGAAGTATTTCACACCCAGAGGCAAGGAAATTGTACTCTTAAACATTTATCCTTTGCTCAGACACAACGATGGCCTTCATCTCATAAAAATAAAGCACAGTTAATATTTTCTTCCTTCAAGTGAAAATTTATCATTTTCTTTTGAAACTCCAATCGTTCTATCTGCAAAAGATGTAACTGAAGGCAATAAATAAGTGAATAAATAAAGGTCAGAAACAAGGCTGAATATGCAGAACATCCCCTGGTAAGGTAAAGCAAGATAGGGGATTTAGACCTGCCTTCCAATGGAAAATTTTTAATAAGTTGTAGAAGGTGAGTGAATGAGAAAAAATAAAAGAAAAGACTTAAAAATAATAATAATAAAGAAAAGAAATGCAATAAAATAAACTGTTTTTCTCATCAAAACTGGAGCTAACAAAAAATCACATATGATTGTACACTTATGCACACACAATTTTACATTCCACTTCAGTAGATTCCCAGATTTCCCAAAGCTTTCTGATATACTTTCGGGTGCATGTTGCGTGTGTGTGTGTGTGTGTATGTGTGTGTGTGTGCATGTTCCAAGCTATTCTTTGCAGCAAAATATACATACAGTCATTTCTTGGTATTCATGAGAGGTTGGTTCCAGGGACCTCCATGGATACCCAAATCTGAAACTGCTCAAGTCCCTAATATAAAATGGTGCTGTATTTGCATGTAATCTACACACATCCTTCCATATACTTTAAGTAATTTCTAGATTACTTATTAAACCAAATAAAAGCTTGAATGTTATATATTTAAGTTGGTGCATAAGTAATTGCAGTTTTTGCTGTTACTTTAGTGACAAAAACTACAATTACTTTTGCACTAACTTAATAGTGCTTATATGCATTTCCACTTGTATTGATTTTTAAATTTTTTTTACTGTTTTTTAACTTTTTGAATACTTTCAATACATAGTCAGTTGAACCTGCAAATACTGAGGTTTTACATATAAGGGAATTAAAGGTCAGAAATGTTTTGTAACATATCCAATTATCATCAAATCAACAAAGTTGGAGATTTGACTTTCACACCAGCTGCAGTAACTGCATGCCTTCCCCATACATTTAAAAAAATTTTGAATTTTGTAGATGTGTGTATGCTTCTTTGTGGTTTTGTGTGTATGTCTCTGTGTGCTTTTGTGTTGTGAGAATAAGAATGGATACACAACAGGCAACATTTTGCATTTAGCTTTTTTCAAAAATATATACACAGAAGATCATTTAACCACTAATACACTGGAAAGCTCATTCAATAATGCTAGAGTTACGCAGGCTGGCTAAGACTGGTATGTGAAATCTCTGGAATGTTCCAATAGGAGGTCCTTAGATGAAATTCCTGAGACCTTGAGAGAACCTATGCCTCCAACAGAGGAGAACACCTCAGAATCTGAAAAACAGCTCCCACCCTAATGCTGGGCCCTGGTAGAGACAATGAGAGACTGAAAATGAGGGACATTAAGTGTCTACATGGACAGAGCTGTCCATCATGACCTGACATGAGGCTGAGCAGGTGCAGCAGGGGTCCACCATGGAAGGTAATGGATGCTTTATATACAGGCTGAAACATACTGATTTGGAAGGTGAACATAAATTATACAAAGATGTGGCCCTGTCTTTCACATCAATTACCCGTGTCTCACCAATGCTTACCTTGACTCACACACCTCCCTAACCAATTCCTCATCTTTGTTTTTATGAACAACTAATGGAGGAGGAAAAATTTTACACCTGGTTCACAAATGGGTAAGTGTGATTACCTGGTGCTGACCACAGAGGGACTGCTTCTTTACCAAAGGACACCCAAGGGTGTTCCCAAAGGACAATGATGCAAAACTTTCCAATGAGTGAAGCTTTGTGCAGCATAGCTAGTGATCAATTATTTATAAAGAGGTAAGTGCCCTGGGGTAAAGATATAAAGGGAGCCCCGGATGAATGGTTGGCTGTTGAGTAAAAGACTGAGAAGGTGCAAGGGTGAAGGATTCGGACAAAGGAATTTGGAAGTAAGGTACACAAATGAACAAAGAGAAGGCAGCACAAAAGTTTGAAAACATTTGTGTCTCACGTTAATGGTCACACAGTATTCACTGAAGAGAAGGCATCCAGGTAAGACATGAATACAGCTCGCCACACAAGTATTAGTGCAAGGGTCCATTAATGGAATGGCCTTATTGGCAAGGATGAAGGCTAGAATGGACCAAACAGCCTTGTCTCCCTCCAACCAAGTATGATCAAGTGGCTATTAGCTCTCAATGTCTAAAACAAATAGCAGAGCCCAACACTGATCCCTCAAGATGATACCCTCTCCTTAATGAACCAATAGGCATGTAATGATAGGATAACTACTTGAAATCTGCACTGAAGAAGACAGTGATTATTTACATAAAGGTTTGCCTTTTCTGCTTGCAGTGCCTATGGAAACACTACCAACCAAATACTTGTCAAATTCCTAGTGTTTTCATGATATTCTGCACAACATTTCTTCAGACTAGGACACAAGTTTGTGGCAAAAAACGTACAATAATAAACCTGCGAATGTAACCCATTTGCAGGCTTGGTTAAATTACACATTCATTATATAAAATTAGACAAACTTGGTAAGGCTTAATGCGTTGTACCTGTACTCTCAGCACTTTGGGAGACCAAGGTGGGAGAATCACTTGAGGCCAGAAGTTTGAGAAAAGTATTGGCAACAAAATGAGGCCCCATCTCTACAACAACAACAACAAAAATTAGTCAGATGTGGTGGCACATACTTGCAGTTCTGGCTACTCAGGAGGCTGAGGCAAGAGGATAGTTTGAGCCCAGGAATTTGAGGCTGCAGTGAACTGTGATTGTGCCACTGCACCGCAACTTGGGCAACACAGTAATACATAGTCTCTAATTTTTTTTAAAATAGACAAACTCAAAAAACAGTACAATAGTCCTTTAAAGGTTTAACCAGGCTGGGCACAGAGGCTCATGCCTGTAATCCCAGTACTTTGGGAGGCCGAGGTGGACAGATCACAAAGTCAGAAGTTTAAGAACAGCCTGGCCAACATGGTGAAACCCCATCTCTACTAAAAATACAAAAATACAAAATATAGCCAGGCACGGTGGCGGGCACCTGTAATTCCAGCTACCCCAGTGGCTGAGGAAGGAGAATTGCTTGAACCCGGGTGGCGGGGGTTGCAGTGAGACGGGATTGCACCACTGCACTCTAGTCTGGGTAACAGAGGGAGACTTTGACTTAAAAAAAAAAAAGTTTAGCCAGAGTACTAGTAAGGAACAAATCCTTGAAGAATTCAGGTGCCACACTCCCATATGTGGGATATTTGCAGAATCAACAGCTCTAAAATATAGTGTTATGTCCAGAGAAGCTAGAATACATAAGCTGAGGAACCACACTGTGAACTCAGACGCAACTCTTTTATTTCAGCTTGACCTAATATTAGTTATTTTACTCCATTAAGGAAAACATAAAGTATGCTTTTCATCCTTATGACCTTAGGCAAATCTATATCAGTGTTCTTGGTCTGGGCTTGGTGGAGGGGATCATTTCCACCAGAAAAAAAAAATATGTTTTCTACTGAATTTGAAACTAATGCTACCACCTAATCACCTTGGCATTCTGTCAGTGGTCCAACAGGCAAAAAGAACTGCTATTCGAGTAGAGGCAAATGCCTCTGATTACAATGAGCCCCAATCATGCCACTGGGTTGTCTTTTGGTATTTCTGTGCCTGGTAATATGAACGCATAGGAAATTACAGGAACCATAGCTCAATAAGAGCAAGACAAACATGGGCTCAGACTTCCCCATTAAGGTAAAGAGTCAGAGGGACCCAGCTGTAGGACTAACATCCTACAGCAGCAGCAATGCTGGGTAAAGGTGAGGGAAATATAAAATAAGTGCTGGAGTAGAAGATAATAAATTTTCTGTCTGTACCAGCCACAGCAGTGGAGTTAGTAACTTGTTCTACCAAACCTTCTCTAATGTTTTGCAGAGCCTGGCTACATTAGTTTTGCATCATTATAAAGGAATACCTGAGACTGGTTAATTTAGAAAGAAAAAGGAATAACTGACTTATGTTTCTGCAGGCAGTACAAAAAGCATGTTGCCAGCAGCTCCTCAGCTTCTGGTGAGGCCTCGGGGAGCTTTTGCTCATGGTGAAAGGTGAAGCAGGAACAAGTGTGTCACATGGCAAGAGACAGATTGACAAAGTGAGAATGTGGGAAGAGACAGGCTCTTTTAAACAATCAGCTCTTGTTGAATTCATAGAACAAGAATTCACTCATTACCTGAGGATGGCACTGGTCCATTCATGAGGAAACCACCTCCATGATCCAAACATCTTCCATCACGCCCCATTTCCAGCACTGAGGAATCACATTTCAAAGTGAGATTTGGAGGGGACAAGCATCAAACTACATCACTGGCCTTCCTGAAATGTACTCTAGGAGAGAATGAAGCCAATGAAGGATACAGGCCAATCTGAGTGCTGCAAAGTGCACTCTTCTTGACAGTTCTTACTGTGGCCACTGTGGAGGCAGCCACATTCATGCACGTTCCATTAGCTTCACTGTAATGCAACGTTGTTTAGATCATTGCCAAGGAATTATTTCTTCCTGTCCAGAGACTTCTTTGATGTCTCTACATGGGCTGCCCAAGAGCACTCTAATGATTTATGCTGGTGCCATACAGAAATGTATGGGAGTTGAAGCCTGGGGGCTGTTTTGACCAATGCATGATGGAAGCTCATAAGTAAATGCTATTCATTTTTGTGCTGAACAGTCAGTTTTATGAGAAATGGCACCAGGCTCCTCAGAAGTTGTGACTAAGCATGAGTGGCACAAATAAATGACCAATAATGCATATTTATTATGCATTATGCATATGAAAAACCATATGATATTGGTTTTCCTTCTTTTTTTGGTTGCATAACTAGTTGTTTTTTTTTTTTTTTTTTTTTTTGTACACCGGCATGATTTTTCACACAAACCACAAGGCTGCAAGCCTTTCATATTAGGCCCTGATTTTAAGAAACTTAGGTTAAAGCACTTGTATTTAGATGTGTCTCTTAAAATTTTTTTCATATATATTCACACATAATTTTTATTTTGCTGTTGGCAGTGGAAACTTTATTATAGACTCCACTGTTTGTACTCCTAAGCTCTATCAGGGTAGCTTCATTGAGGAACTGGCATTTGACATGATCTCGGGTACATGTTGGCTTTCAATACAAATTGGAATGCTGTTCTTTTATGGATCAATCACATCTATCTTCCAAATGATGCATTTCTCTGTCTTACCTTAAATGGTGTATAAAAACATGTGGCTCATAAATATTAGACTTTGGGTAAAAGCTATTATTTTGGATTAAAGGGGAGTAGTATGGGCCTAGCCACTATAAGAATTTTATCAGATCCTACTTCATTAGCTAAAACTTTAGTGTGATCCTATTATGTATTTGATGGATGAGTATTCAATCTCTCTTATCTTGTACAACATTTTGATTTAGCCATTATAATGAACATGTCCAGAGTAACACATTTAAATGCAGAAATGGGATTTGAACACAGACATTTGGACTCCAAAGACTACATTTGCTTAATTACAATGTATTCTGCCTATCACTAGACCACATTCTATTCTGGCAGGCTAGCTGTGAGGCATATACCGGGAGGCAGAGTAGGTCACAGTCATGCCTGATGGGTATAAAAAAGGCTTGCGAATCAGAAAAATTACATCACATTTCATTTGAATACCTTGCAGGTCAATATTTTATAGAGTATATAAAGTGGCAATAAAAGATAATGGAGAAAATAAAGATAATTCATTTTCTCAGAGGCATTGATCATCAGGAAAGGTGCATTTTCTTTTTCTCCTTTGTACCAAATGGGGAATTTGTTCAATATTCTTAATTTACATAAAATATACAATGCAGTTAAACACTTTAAGTGCTCCTTGCATTTAGTTCATTACTATAAAATCATTTCCAGAAAGGAGAAAGTTCTCTGTGTATTTTATTTACATTTTTTCAAGTCCACCTGTGAAGCCATTACATGAATAATTCATCAGGCTTGATGTTTAACGACTTTGTACAGGACTTTTTATTTCGAATTCTCACTTGGTGCACATATTTGCCACAGACTTGTCAACAATCACTTGAGAATTCACCTAATTTCCCCCATAAAACAAGAGTTGAAGCTCAGAAGAGTCTTCCCTCATTACACACGGGCATTAGCCATTTCATGTCATATTGAATGGACAACTAGTCACGTTTGCTATCTTCCTTTAATATTTATCGTGGAAGTCAATTAGGTTTCAGTCACAATGAAACAGTGCCTGTAATCCACACAGAGGCAGCTCAGTGGAGTGGAACAGTGCATGGAGAAAAGTAAGAATGCTGAAATAATGGGTTTAATAAGGAAGTGACTATAGAAGTACAAGAATGCTTTAGGAAGAGACGCCTCAGTGCTGGGCACAGGAAATTAAGCAAGAGTGTGGTTCTAAGTTACCTAACCATAGTCCATTTGGACTGGACTTCAGATGATACATGAGGGTTTTTCCCCTAACATTTTAAAATGACATCCTTATACCAGCTATAGTTACACAAATTATCCTATAAAATGTTTTTAGGATGAACAGTAATCACATTAATTTTTTTTTATTATTTTAATTTAGGTTCTAGGGTACATGTG